TTAATATGGTAAATTGTTTCCAAATAAGACTTGATTAGCCCTCTGTAAAATCTGTTCTGAGGATCTCAGGTCCCTCTCTCCAGCCCCACCCCACCTCGAGCATCTTCTGTCCTAGCTCTAGCCAGGCATTAGGATCCCTTCCTGCTTTTAGTCCTTTATTAACGCTGATTGCTCCATCCCAAGCCACATCACCCCTACCATACATGCACACATCTGGTGCGGTCTGTCTCTTTAATCCTTTAGAATTCAGATCCCAAATGTACCTCCCACAAAATACAGACTATTCCAGTCTAACTCAGAAAGGAATTGCTAATATGTTAATATATCTGATAGTTCTTCTGTGTACTTCTCCATCTTAATTGTACAGATGATTTCCCCACTAAATTGCGATCACCCTCTTGATCCTGGTATGTCAGCCGATGGTGCTGGTGGACATGCTTGCTCTTTGTACACAAAATGCAGTGAGGCATTTTTTTTTCTTTGTTGAATTTAGAGAGAGAGAGGAAGGGAGGAGAGAGAGAGAGAGAGAGAGAGAGAGAAACAGAGAAACATCGATCAGAGAGAACATCAATTGGCCACCTCCTGCAAGCCCCTCAATGGGGATTTGGCCCACAACCTGGGCATGTGCCCTGACCGGCCATCGAACCAGCGACCTCTTGGTGCATGGGACGATGCTCAACCACTGAGCCAGGCATTAGGCTTTTTTTTAAATATATTTTTATTGGTTTTTTTTTTTTAAGAGAGATAGATAGAAACATCGATATGAAAGAGAACCATCGATTGGCTACCTCTTGCATGCCCCCTACTGAGGTTTAAGTCAAAACCCAGGCATGTGCCCTGACCGGGAATCAAACCAGGACTTCTCAGTCCATGGGACAATGCTCAATCCACTGAGTCACACCAGCCGGGCTCAGAGAGGCTTTTTAATGAAGCCAAATACAATACTGGACGGTGGCAACAAATCTTACTGTAAATCAGTTTGTACTAGATTCGGCATATAAGCCCATTGAAGCAGTTATCTGCGATGATGCTGAGGTTCAAAAATCTGACTGCCGGTTTTCTCTGTGGCATATACCAGGATTTCGGAGCCAGAACCACCATCACCTCTGGCAGGTTGAGCATGCAGATGGGGTCGACCTGCCTGTGGCTCCAAAACACCTCACAGAACAAGGACTTGTTATCATTGTCATTATTAGTATACTGTGATGCTCTTGGCTTCTTAAATTGCTGGTTCTCCTAATGCTGTCTACCCCACCCCCAATCAGGCTGAAATGTGTGTTGTATTAGCCAGAGCATTTTGGAAGAAGATAAAAAGGAAAGAACAAGTACCCTTTAAGTGAAAATCCATCCCCCTACCCCCACACCTCCCCCCAAAGCCATCTAGGGATGAACTGAAGAAACTAAGACCTCTGCTTCATAAGCCTTTCCAGGGCTGAAGCAGAATGCCTCCCCTCACGTAACCTTGACAGTCACAAGCTTTTGATTGCAGTCCAGGAAGACGGGAATAATCACATGGCCATACAGCTGGAGACTCAGCCCAACTTGGCGTATCACCTTTCCAAAATACCTTTGCCTTAGGAGGAGACAGGCGCTCCTAACTGGGTCATGCTGTGCATAGCTGTATCTGTGCATCAGAGGCTCCACCTTTATTTCAGATGCTTTTCATTGGGTTGCAGTTTAATAACCCTTTTAAGGTCCCTGGAATTGTCAGTAAGTTACAAGGGGATGCTAATGTCTTCCACTGTGTAGATCTGTGGTCAAACTATAATGCTGGCTCCTCCCAACCCCCAGCCGTTCATCCCTCCTCACTAACACTGAGTATTTCCTAGTTTGGCTTTTCTTTCATCTGAGCTCTTTCTTTTGTTTAGGGTAATAGAGTCATTGAGGAGAATAGTATTATCCATATAAGGGATCAAGTGGACCCCTTGTTTATAGGGTAAAGGTCAGGAGACTTAGATTCTAGACCCAGCTGCTACCAGTTAGTTTTGTGACCCTGGGTAAGTAATTGATCTTCTCTGGATTTCACATTTTCTCTGAGGTCTCTTCCAGTTCTAAGGTTCTCTGATTTCATATGGGTACCTGGGCTCGTGTCACTTCAGAACTCTCCTTTATTCTGTTTGGCTGTTGTGGTAAATAAATAATTTTATGTAAAACAGCTTCTGACACATAGTCACAAAGCTCAGCATGTGTTTGTCTCTGCTGTTGACGTGTCCAGTAGTGGACTGTGCCAGAGAGAATATTGGGGACCTGGCACAACTCAAATTCTGCTTGGACTTTTCAAAATGCCAGATGGTACCACATATTTGAGTGCCCGTTGAGCCCGCTTCTTCAGATTCTTCCCTATCCCAATCTAGTAGAAATCACCCAGTCTCACGTCCATCTGTTATTCAGGCAGCTGGACCGGAGTTGCACAAAAGAAATACATAGGCCTTCTCCAGGGTGACTTCATGCTCCATGTAGACATCTTTCCAATTAGAAGCTAGAATTTCAGCCATCAATCAAATAACCAACAACCGTTCTGTGTGGGGAAGTCGATATCTGCAGGGAGAAGGAGGAGAGTTCTGCTTACTGTGATTTAATTATGACTTAGTGATTGATTCTGGGTTGTGGAAGCAAATATGAATGAGCCAACTCTCAAGACCAGCTGTCGAGCACTTGGCTTCTAATCTCTGTCATCCCACTTGTCCCAAGTACTGCCGGCTTGACAGCTGACCAGCTAGTTAAATGTTTGTTTCCTCCTCTGCTCTGATTCATATCCTGGGGGCCTGAGGATCTTGGACTGTGGAAGGGCACCCCCACTAGGCTGTTTGCTGACTGGTAACATCCCAGTGGTTTGAGTTATGATGACTTAGCAGTCCTGGTTTTTCTTTCTGTAGTACAAATGGTGTTAGAACCCTCCATGTGAGATGGAAAATAATCTGTAACTGAACTGTCCAAAGATGGCATTTGTAATGAAGTATTTCTGCTGATGGCCTCAAAGGTCCCTGTGCCACAACCACTTAATATTACTTGGACAGTTTTCACGAACAGTTCTCAGGAGCCCTCACTGACATCTTTGGATATTGTTTTATTTAATGGTGTATTTAGAGGAAAGGGCCCGCCTTCATGGGGAGCAGGATGGGCACTGGAATATCAAGAGGAAGTGACAGTGGGCACTGCCCTGAGAGAATGGAAGACCTGGGAAAGAGAGAGAAGGGATACTAATCAGTTAAGACAAACGTGTGAAATTGACGTGATGTGCAGAAAAAAAGGAATGGTTAGCAAAAAGCATTTGTGTTTATCTAATACGCAAATATACAGAGGTTCTGATCCTCTTCTCTGAACATATTTCTGTGGCCACAAAGGGTAGCTCCGTGGGCGATCCAGTTGGAGAGCGTCATTGTCTTCTGATCTGATTTGGTTTGCACTGAGCAGTCTCCTGAGGTGAATTGAGTTTCCTCCATATATTTTCCAACTGAGAAGTATAATAACCATCTGTTACTGTTTTAGTTCTCTAAATAGTTACTTTTCTCATTGTAAATTGGCCTTCTGATTTCTGTTCCTTCCCTGGGCAGTTTAGGTGCAGGGATTGGTTCTTCTGGGCCAGCTGAGAAAATCAAGTGTCTAGACCCACGAGGCTAAGTCTGTAAACCCTGGAACTTCCACGGTCGTGGCCCTACCCCAACTCCCCTTTCAGCAGTTAGCCACATCTCATGAACATCCACCACAACAGTATTTTCTGCTTCAGTCTTTAATCCTAGGGGACCGTCACCCTTACTCACACCTGGAGGAAGGGCAGTATGAAGAGTAACCCAAAGCTGCAGGAAAGGAAACTAGCTCCTCCCATCCTCCTGAGCAGCCTAGTCCCCCTGCAGCCAGAAGCTTTGAACACGAAGGCGCAGCCAGCTTGTGGCCAGTGTTACCTTCCTCTGCACCTTGCCGTATAAGATCCTCCGCTATTTCTGTACACCTCCACCCCGTCCTCACCCTCAGATTCTAGAAAACACCAGTAAACTGGTTTGGGCATTACTAAACCACCTCAGCAGTTACCTTGTGACATCCCCTCACTGGAATGAGAAAACTAACTCTAAAGGGATCAAGCTACTCCATCAGGTTCACGCAGAATGTTGGTGGGGGAGCCAGGACTAGAGCTCAGCCTGAGTGATCTCAAGCCCAGCTTTCCTGCTGCGTCACCTTATTCCTCTGCATTGTTCTGGGGTTTGTATCTGCTGACCTTGGGGGCGCTGAGTATATGGAGGTGATAGAGGTGAAGTGAAAGACCAAATGTAGGGAAAATGACAAGAAAGAATTGAAGTTATAGGAATTAAATAAGCAGAGAAGGCACCAACTCTAGTTTAAGTTCACATTGCTTCTGGGTAAGTAGAAACTAATCCTCTTCTTTCCTCCAAGAAACTCACTTAAGAGTGTGTCTATAAGCAATAACATAATTTATAAATATATAATTTATAGATGTAGCTGGATCACGATAAACAGGAGAAAAGTCCTTGCTGGCTTTTCATGAGAACCCACTTCTCACATGATTGCTATTGTTTAACAGTTAATGTCAGAAAAAGAGAAAATGGCATGAGAGATTTTCTGCTGAGGTTGGAAACAGACAAAAAGGCTGCATCCTGAACTAGTGAGATGGATGCCACTGCTTATCCCAAGGGGCAGAGTTAGAAAGGACAGAGTGGTCGGTGGAAAACCTGCAGGCAGGAGGGCAAGAAGCCCATCTATGCAGGCACGTAGTGTTCATCAGTAACTGCAGGGTGAAGCCTTAGTGTGCTGGGAGGGGCCTCCTTATTCCCCACCTGCGTTTGTTTTGCTACCTGGTTATTTCCTTTACTTTTTGTTATCATGTTTTTTCTAGTGGGTTATGGATTTAAAACGAAATTATCATTTTCTTAAATATGACTTAAACACAGTTGAAAACTCTTTATTATGACTGAGTAGTTTTTATCCCCCTCATTTAGAGGAAGCAAAATGCAAGTACTAATTTAGCATCTTCCTTTCTTCTTCAGTGACCATGCAACAGGTGGCCAGGACAGTGGCCAAAGTGGAACTCTCAGACCACGTGTGTGATGTGGTGTTCGCGCTCTTTGACTGCGATGGTGAGTGGGCCTCTGGAGTCGGGCGGGGAAGCTCAGCCTTGCTGCCCTTGCAGTGGACATTGTAGGAGCCTTGCAGACGGCTGCACGTTGCAGCCCGTACCTCTTCGGCTTACCTCTTTCCCACATCAGCAGCTCAGTCCTCAGCGTCATGACCTTGAAAATACAACCCCAGGTCCTGATTTGCGTTTTGCATTTTTTTTATAATTCCAATTTGCTTGTAGGTCTAAATTAATTTGTGACCATGAAGATCTTAGAAATGGAAACAATTCAACTATGGCAGTGTTTTAAATAAAGAATAAACTCAAATATAAAAACTAACAAAAACAGAAACAAAATATTGGACCCAGCTTGCTGCTTAGTAGATAAGAAGCACTGGAGCACTCGAATGTCTCTAGGAAGAAGACGCTGCTGTCTCTACCTCCCAAGGCACATTTCATCCTTCACACTCCAGCCCGGGGTCCCAGCTGGCAGTGGTCTCCTGTGTCTGGACCACTCCGTAGTAAGCCCTTTAAGAGACCCTGGTTCCGTTTTAGTGTTATTTCTCAGCTCTGTTGGCTGACATAATAATGATTCTAATGGTCACAGTGGAGGCTCACACTTTTTGCAGTGCTTATTGTGCAAAGCTGCTCATCTAATCCTGTGACGGGAATTGTTATTAACCACCTTTTACAGATAAGGAAGCTGGGACTCGGAGAGGCTGAGTCCTTTCCCCAGGATCACACAGGTAGTAAGTAGTAGATGGCAAAACCAGGATTTGAGCCAAAGCTGTGCGCCTCCGTCTGCTACATCGCCTCCGTTGCTTGTCTCACGGCCAGGGTTCTTGGTTCGTCCTCCACAGGAAGCGAGGCTAATGGAATTCAAGAACCGGCTCAAAAGCTTCTGCTGATGTGAAACCTTCCGTTTTGGTCCCAGCATAACGAATCACTGGGTTTTTCATTCCTCAGCGTGGTTCAGTTTCCGTGTTACGACATGCTACACTCCATCTCTGTGTATGTGGTCTTGCTTCCCTACTAAATTGTGAGCTTCTTAAGGCTAGTTACAGGTCCTGTTCACCTTTGCACCGTTCCCCCGTGGGACCGTGAACAGTACTTTGCACATAACAGGTGTTCATTAACTTACTTGTTTTTAAGTTGAGCTTGAGTTATTTAAATCTGCCACCTGCACCTACAACCAAGGTCTGAGTCGAAGGAAGCCCCGGGGCCAGGACAAGGAAATGACCCTGTCCTCAGGTAGGGGTGGCTTATTCTCTAGGCTTCCCTGTCCAGCATGATACCACTAGTTAATGTGGCTGTTTTAATTAAAATTAAATACACTTTAAAACTCAGTTTGTTGGACTCTTTAGCCACATTTCAAGTGCTCAGTGGTCACATGTGGCCAATGGCTACTGTACTGAATAGCACAGATTTTAAAAAGCATTTCCCTCATGGAAGAGAGTTCTAATGAATAGCACTGCTGTAGAGAGATTAACCATCTCGATTTTTTTAATTGATTTTTTTATAGAGGGAATTAGAAGCATAGATGTAGGAGAGAATCATTGATCCTCCCACACGCACCTTGACCTGGGTATGTGCCCTGACTAGGAATCGAACCTGCATCCTTTTGGTTGGGACAGTGCTCCAGTCAACTGAGCCACACCGGCCAGTGCCCATCCCCCAATATTTTTATTCTAATCACATTTAGGTGGTTTAAGTTTTTTTAAAAACATTTATTTTTTATAATTTTTTAATATGTTTTTATTGATTTTTTTAGAGAGAGCAGAAGGGAGAGAGAGAAACATCGATGTGAGAGAGAAGCTTCCGTCAGCTGCCTCCTGTACACCCCCCACCAGGGATCGAGCCCACAACTCGGGCATGTGCCCTGACCGGGAATCAAACCGGGACCTCTCAGTCCATGGGACGACACTCAATCCACTGAGCCATACTGGCCAGGCTATTTTTATGATTTTTGAAGCCAGTATCCTAGAGCTTATGGAATAAAGGTAAGCAGCCTCACAGTTCTCCTCTCTTCTTAGGGGGGCCTGGAAATGCTGTTTGATTTTCCAGCCTTCTAGAATCAGGCCCTGTCAACATCTATTTAAATCACCCTTAGACAATCATTTAACATCTCTGGGGCTTATTTTCTTAAATCTACAGAAAAAGGAAGTATATATTAAATTAAAAAGCCATTATTGTTACAAATTGGTAGTTACAAAATAGTTACGGGGAAGTAGAGTACAACATAGGGAATACAGTCAATAAGACTGTGCCCAGCTGGTGTGGCTCAGTGGATTGAGTGTCGTCCCGTGGACTGAGAGGTCCTGGTTCGATTCCCGGTCAGGGCACATGCCCAGGTTGCAGGCTCAGTCCCCGGGTGGGGGGGGAGTGTACAGGAGGCAGAGGTCAATGTTTCTCTCTCACATCAATGTTTCTATCTCTTATTCCCTTCCTGTCTCTCTAAAACATCAATAAAAACATACTTTAAAAAAAGATTGTAATAACTGTGTGTGGTGCCAGGTATGGGTACTAGAATTATTGGGGGATCACTTCATAAATTTTATAATATCAACTGTAATAGAAAAATAAAAAGCCATTGATACTTCTACCAGTGCAAGGTCTTGGGTCACAATGTCAGAGGACTTGTTCACCACAGAATTTAGGGCTGCACTCATAGGTCACACATGCACACACATGATATTCAGTCACACCCTGGCTCAGAGGTGACAGCGCCATTCAGACTGGTCAGCGCTGGCCTTAGGGAAGCAGGAAACAAATCCCGAGGTAATTTGAATGAAATTACCTCAGATTTTTTTTTTCATCTTAAGCTTCTTTTTATTTATTTTTTATTTTTTCAAGTCCTCACCCGAGGATATTTTTCCATTTATTTTCAGATAGAGTGGGAGGGAGAGGGAGAGAGAGAGAGAAACACTGATGTGAGAGAGACACATCCACTGGCTGCCTCCCACATGATCCTGACCAGAGCTGGAGACGATCCACAACCGAGGTATGTGCCCTTCACTGGAATTGAACCCATGACTCTTTGGTATGAGGGCCAACTCTCTAACCACTGAACCAAACCGGCCAGGGCTTAAGCTTCTTTTTATATACAAAATATTAAGAATCTTATTTAGCCCTGGCTGCTTTGGCTCAGCGGTTGGAGCGTCGGCTTGCGGATCGGAGAGTACCGGGTTCAGTTCCCGCTAAGGGCACGTACCGCGGTTGCAGTTTGCCCCCGGCCCTGGTTGGGGTTGTGTGGGTGGCAACCACTCGATGTGTCTCTCTCATCAATGTTTCTCTCTCTCTCTCTTTGCCCCTCTCTCCCTCCTGCTCTATCTGAAGATAAATGCAGAAATGTCCTCGGGTGAGGATTAAAAAAAAAAAAAGAATCTTGTTTAGACTTTTTTGTTCTTTAAGTTACATTCTTGATAAGCCATATTACTGATTACTTCAGCCCAGTCAGGCTACTTTTAAGCTTTTTATGTTGAAGTATATGCATTCAGAAAAGTGCAAATTGGTGAATTTTTCAAAACTGAACATCCCCGTGTCACCATCATTATCCAGAAACATCACATTACCTGGACCACAGAGGCTCCCTGGTGCCTCCTCCCAGTCACTCCCACTCCCGAGGGGAGCCGCTTTCCTGCCTTCCAGTGCCGTAGTCTAGTTTCACCTGTTTGTGTTGGCCAGCGCTCCGACCGTGAGCCAAACCAGCCAGGTCATGGCTGCCATTCTTTAATCAGCATTTAGTCCTAGGCATCTAGTCAAGGCGTCACTGCCCTCTGCTCTTACAGTGGTTACTGTTCATGTGGCTTGAGAAGTGACCTTTGGGTAAACCAGGTGCTCTCCAGGTTCTCTCCCTGACCTGAGAGGCTGCCACTGAAGAGAGTAGAATGGGAATCCTGCAGAAAATGGGATCAGTCCAGAGCCAGGTGGTTGTTTTGGTTTCACATGAAACGCCCTCATCTGTCACCTGGACTGTTGAAAGCCTCCTAACTGGCTCCCATGCTGCAGTGTGCCACTCTAGCCCCATCCTGTATATCCAGCCAGAGAAATCCGTCCAAGCAGAAGTCTAACTGCTCTCACTCCCCTGCTCCCAGCTTTCCTGGCACTCCCCCGCCTAGATGCAGGGCTGGGGAGCCTTTCTCTGCCAAGGCCCATTTGGACATTTATAAATCATTTGCAGGCCTTACAGAATTATCAACTTAAAAATTAGCCTGCTATATTTGGTCAGGCTAATTTGGTGAAGTGTGTGATGTTAGCTGGTATTGATTCCATGAGTCTTTTGATAGAAGATAAAGTGCAAATCCTTTAACAAACATACAAAATCCCGCCCAGCCGGTGTGGCACAGTGGTTGAGCTTCGACCCATACACCAGGAGGTCACTGGTTCAATTCTCAGTCAGGGCACATGCCCAGGTTGTGGGCCCGATCCCCGTTGTGGGCCCGATCCCCAGTGTGGGGGCATGCAGGAGGCAGCCAATTGATGTTCCCTCTCATAGATGTTTCTATTTCTCCCTCTCTCTCTAAAATCAATAAAAATAAAAAAATACAAGATCCTTGGGAAACTATCTCCTGCCTGCCTCTTTAGTTTACTTGCCATGCCCCCACCCCCACCGGTGGATCCAGCAGCACCTACTGTAGTTCTCCATCATCTGTGCCTTTGCTGATGCTACTACCACCGCCTGGAATGCCTTCCATCTCACTCCCCTTTATTTGGCCAATTCCTCCTGTTCATCTTTTGGGATTCAACTTCAGAGACACCTCCAGGAAGGCTTGACTGATCCGTAGTTGTGCCACCTCCAGTGTGGGTGAGAAATTCTTCCTCTGAGCCCTCATAGCTTCCTTTGTTTACCCCATTATGGTATTTACCACACTGCTGAGATAGTGTATTTGTTTCTCCCACAATGTGGGCGTATTTCATTGGACAGAGTCTTATTTATCTCTTTATTCCCAACACCTAGCACAAGACCTGACATGTAATATATTCTCATTTAACTTCTATCACACTAAACTGTCACAGTTGCATGCAGCCAGAAACATCGAGGAGCAAACCAGTTCATTCTAGGTCAGGAGAATTGAACTTGGCTGTGAGAGAGCACTGGGCTGTACAGCCCCGCTGTGTGCACACTGGAATTCTCAGTGTCTTTGTTCCAAAGCCCCCACTTACACCTGTTGTGTTTGCCTCTTTCTCTAGGCAATGGGGAGCTGAGCAATAAGGAATTTGTTTCCATCATGAAGCAACGGCTGATGAGAGGCCTGGAGAAGCCCAAAGACATGGGCTTCACCCGCCTCATGCAGGCCATGTGGAAATGTGCACAGGAAACTGCCTGGGACTTCGCTTTGCCCAAGCAGTAAGCCAGAACAGCAAGAGTGGCCACCTCCTTCACCCCACCCCCGTCCCTTGAGCGGAGCCCTGGGCCAGCCCTGCCTGCTGCTGCTTCCGGAAGTAGTGCTCCCTTCCTTTTGGGAATGATCTCAGGATTCATCCAGCTTCCCCTCTCCGTCATTCCCCTGACCCAGTCTTCTGCTCGGCTCTGATTCTGCCCAGTGATCAACCCCATAGGTTCTCAAAAACATGAATAAGTCCAAAACACTCAGTCTTTTGGCACCTTCAACAACACTACCATTCAAGTACCCTGTGGATCTAAAGAATTGCAGGGACATTCACAGATACCGCCAACCCTGGGAAACACCAAGTTCTCGAGTCATTTTTGCTGTGGATTTATATTAAGACCATTCCTTGCTTTTTCTCCTGCTGGTGCTTTTAAGCTACACATTGGGAAAACCTCTGGCAGGCAAAAGGAAGTCTGTGATGAATGATAGTGAGCATGACTGGGCCACCCTGAGCTGGCAGGAAACCGGGGCCAGAAGATGGGTCTGTGTCGGCCCCCAGCCTGGCTCTGGGGCCTGCTCCGGAAGGTGATGTGCACAGAGGGAATGGAGCAAGATTCGGAGTTTAAAGCAGCTGCTTACTGGCTCTCTCCACTCCCTTCTTTTGCTCTCAGGCTCCCTAGGGAGACTCCACCCCAAGTCTGTGCTTTAAGCAGTGACTGAGTTCATATCCCTTGCAAGTGCCCTTTCCCTCCAGGATGTGCCTCTGGGCTCAGGCCTGCTCAGGGCCGTCTGCCCTCTGTCTTTAACACTTGTAATATATCACTTTAATTATAACAGTTCGCAATAACCCCCCAAAGGCTGTTGTCTCCTTTATTTTAGGATCCTCTGGGGCCCTTTTCATTTTATTCCTCCACTGGGTTTAAGATCCTGCTGGCAGCAGACTTGTTTTCTTTCCACCAGAGTCTAGTTCTTCCTGTAGAAAGGCAACTTTAGCACAAACAAGAAGTCAGGGCATTTGGAGGTTACTGGTGGTGTTAGCAGTGAACACGGCACCAGGTGTTAGACCTCGGTTCAGCAGCCTCGGTACTTGGGTTCTAGCTGAGAAAGAATTCAGAGCCAAGACTCACGCTATAAGAGACAGTTTATTTAGAAAGTCACAGACGTAGAAGGAGTGAGCTGTAGAAGAAATGGGCTCAGGAAACATGGTACAGAGGCAAAAGAAGGGCCCTTGGAGCTCAGGAAAGAGACAAGGAAAACTTGCCTGGAGTAAGGAGTAAGGGAGTGGCAGAAGGCTCAGGCATGCGCCAGAGAGAAAAGCTGCTGTGTCCTCTGTCCTAAGGGCTTTTTTTATTTTAATTTATTTATTTTTAATTTTATTTTTGTTAAGATGTTTATCCTTTTTTTCCCCATTGACACCCTCCTCCCTATCCCCCCAACCCCGTCCCCGGTTTTGTTGTCCGAGTTCATTGGTTATACGTACATGCATATAAGTTCTGTGGTTTATCTCTTCCCTCCCCCCACCACTCCCTCTTCTGAGGGTTGTCAGTCTGTACCCAACTTCCACATCTCTGGGTCTACTCTATTCATTATATTCCACAAATAAGTGAGGTTATGTGGTATTTGTCTTTTTCTGTTTGGCTTGTTGTCCTAAGGGCTTTTAAGGGTGGGGATTTTAGCCCGGCCAGTGTGGCTCAGTGGTTGAGTGTCAACCCATGCACCAGGAGGTCAGTGGTTCCCTTCCCAGTCAGGGCATATGCCCAGGTTGTAGGCCCGATCCCCAGTGGGGAGCATGCAGGAGGCAGCCAATCAGTTTCTCTAATCGATATTTCTCTCTCTCCCTCTCCCTTCTTCTCTCTCTAAAATCAATAAAGATTCAATCAGTGTATATATAAAAGGGGAGGGTGGAGATTTTAGGGGCAATCCAGGGGTTTCAGTAGAATATTCATCAGCTTTCCAGGTGTGTCCTTCCAGAGTTGTGGTCTCCACTAATTGGTCAGCACCAAGGCAGGGGGTCATTAGTAAATGCAGCTGGTCCTGATGTCAGCCGTGGCATGGTTTGTCTGGATTGGCATAGCTTTTCTGGGCCTGGAGCTGAGGTCTAGTGGGTATTATCCCTAGGGGTTAATGCTTAAGGGAGTGGTCATGCAAGGGCGGAGTGGGAGTCACTTGAAGCCACTCTTTGGTCCCTGTTCCTCCTCTAACGTCTAACACATGACTAGCAACATACTAGGGGAGGAGAAGTCAGGGGAGGGTCCGAGCCACATGACCAGTGATATGAAAGGTCAGGGCGTCTAAACCCCATGACCAGCAATATGCTAGGGAAGAAAAGGTTACCCTGGGGGTGAGGTCCTTGTTTTCCCAGTTTTGCCCATTGCTAGGCGCCCGGGGATTTCTGCCCTGGTGACCTTCTGTGCCTGGCCCATCGTCCTTGCTCTGCTCGTGTCTAACTGCCTGACAGTGGCATTGTCCCAGCATAGTTTGGACAGCTTTTCATCCTGGGCAAACATACACAGCCCTTGATTACTCATACCCCACAATAAGGAACTAAAATGGGGTGGTGGAGCATATGAGAAATCATCTGGTATGGTGGACCTAAGTTTTAAGAACCATAGCAACCAGTGTTTTATTTGGACTCAACTTTGCCACTAAAAGTATGGCCTTGAAGCAAGTAATTTCCCATCTGTTTCCTCAGCTGTGAAATGGCAGCTAGGGTTGGGCTCAGCGGGCTCTAAGGTTTCTTCCAGGTAGTGCCTCCGGGCATGACAGTGTCTCCAGTCCAATGTAGCAGAAGCACTGCACCGAAAACCCAGTGCTTCCTGCAAGGCCTGCAAGTTGGCAGGGAGTGTTTATCAGGCAGAAAGGAGCAGAGGCCTGGGTCTGCATCTGCGGCTCCGCGAGGTAGTCCCAACCCCAGCATTTTCTCCAGAGCAGTTTCACCACCTCACTTCTAATGTCCTTTCAGGGAGCAGTTTAGATTATCTCTCAAAGGAGTTTGCCACTCATCTACTTCATCTATCTCCCACTTTTTTTTTTAATCCTCACCCGAGGACACCTTTACATTTTTGTTTAGATAGAGTGGGGCGGGGAGAGAGAGAGAGACTGAGAAACATAGACATGAAAGGGAAACAGAGTGGCTGCCACCCGCACAACCCAACCAGGGCCGGGGACAAACTGCAACCGAGGTACATGCCCTTAGCAGGAACGGAACCCGGGTCTCCCTGGACCGCAGGCCGACGCCCTGAGCGCTGAGCCAAACTGGCCAGTGCTATCTTCCACTCTTTACTTTCTTGGGTATGTATTCCTGATGCCCAAATAAATGTAGCCTTTGATTTGCTCACTGCCCCTGGGCCGAGGCATCAGCAAAACAGGAGCTTTTCTTAAAATTGTCCCAGAATCCCAAAAGCACTCTTCTCCCAGATCCTTCTTGTTCCAGCCTTGAAGAAAAGTTCACTTCACACACTTCGTGGGACTTTCATTCCCCTACAAGAAGAAATCTGCGGATTGGCCTGGGTTTAAGCTGAAAGCCAGCACATAGCTGAAGAGGGTAAGGATCTCACATATAACATCTTGAAACCCAGGGTCAAGGGCGCCTGTCACAGGACATGGAATTCCAACTGAACTCCATTAGCTCCTAGGAGTGCCTGAGGAAGAAGAGGAGGTCCAAGTGCTCAAGAAGACAGCATGGCCACACTTTGACACAATAGGGTAAATGTGCAGGTGAGAGATACAAGCTCAGTCACCCAGAAGAGGCCAGGGTCCCCCAAGGAAGTCCTTGAGCAAGGTGGCGTTATGAATAAGCTGAGAGGATTTTAGTAGGCAGAGTTTGGGAGTAGGCTAGAAGCATTTGGAAATACAAAAAGCTGATTTGTGCTTCTCTTTTTATTCAAATTGTTTCTTCTACCTAGGTAGAATAGCCTACCTTTCCTCCTTCAAGACAGCTCAAACTGTCCCCTCCTTAAAAGCCCTCCTTGGTCCTCTTCCAGACAAGACTGATAGCACCCCCCCGCCGCCTCCCAAGGATCACTTGCCCACCCATAACAACACTGCTATAATTCACCACAAAGTTCAGACCCAAAGCAGTAACACAATCAGACAGTCTAAAAGCTAATTTAAAAATAACTCTCGGACGGTGTTAAAGTGATACTAGCAGTGCCTCAATAAATTCCTCCCACACACCTACAGCCATTCTCTACTTTTCTTGTTTTCTAATTATTTAAAAAACAAAAATAGCCCTGGCCGGTTTGGCTCAGCAGTTAGAGCATCGGCCCACGGACCAAAGAGGCCCGGGTTCAATTACAGCCAAGGGCACGTACCTTAGTTGCGGTTCGTCCTCAGTCCCGGTTGGGGTCGTGCGGGTGGCAACCAATCAATGTGTCTCTCTTGCATCGATGTTTCTCTCTCCTTCCCACTCTATCTGAAGACAAATGTAAAAAAAAAATCCTCTGATGGGGATTAAAATAAATAACAAAAATAACCTTCTCCCATTCTAGCCCTTAGGCTTTGGGGAGGAAAGGAAACTCAGAGGAAACCCAGGCTGCTGGGCTTCCTTGACCTTGAATTCAGCACCACCCACAAGGACAAGCAGGAATAATATGGAGAGTTACTAAGGGAAATGGGCTTAGGAACATGCATGCTATTTAAATATCATCATTTTAATAGCTTTTAGTGTCCCACCTAGTTTAGCTCTAGTTGGAACACATGCACTTGAAACAAATTAGATTCTAAGACAAAGAAGTCCAGGCAATGGCTCCTACTAGACAGGCAAGAAGGAACAGCAGCATGGGAGCCAACAGCCAGGTTCTCACCAGAGCATCCTCTCCAAGCAGCTCAAAAGAGGAAGGAGAGCCCTGGCCCATCTGGCTCCACGGTTAGAATGTCGACCTGCAGACTGAAGGGTCACAGGTTTGATTCCCAGTCAAGGGAATGTACTTGGGTTGCAGGTTCAATCCCCAGGCCCCAGTTGGGGTGGTGCAGGAGGCAACCCATCGATGTGTCTCCCTCGATGTCTGTCTCTGTCTCTCTCTCCCCCCCCTTCCTTCACTCCCTCCCTCCCTCCCTCCATCCCTTCCACTCTATCTAAAAAAAAAAAAAATCAAAGGAAAAATGTCCTTGGGTGAGGATTAACAAAAAAAAAGAAAGAAAAAGAGGAAACAGAGTGTTCAGCTTTCAGTCTTCAAGTGCCACCTACTGGCAAGAAGACTTGGTGCAAGTACTCGCTGGTCTGGAGCAGGGGAGGGTGGTGAGGCTACTTGAAGGCAGACTAGCCCTGGCCCTGCTCCTGAGAATTGGCCTCCAGGGACCTGGTGGCTGGGGCAGGGTGGGGTGAACATCCACAGATTGACCATAATCATGAAGAGAGACTCTACAGATGTCATTATAATTGAGGTGAAGGAAGGAGTGATGCCTGGTATTGTTGGTAACTCTAGAATGGGAATTTTTACCACCAAGTGTAAGGGTATGAGTCACTCTATTCATTCTACAACTCTTTAATGATCACCTACCATGTGCCAGGCACTCAGCAAGATCTAGGTGTTTGCATTCCAGTAAGGGAAACAGAAAAAAGAAGTACAGGCTTCTATGCGAGCACTTGGAGAAGCAGAAGGGCCATGTAATCCAGATTTGGGAGTTCAAGGCAGGCTTGCAGAGGAAATGACTTTTTTTTTAATTAAAGGGGCAGGGAAGAAGCTGAGTGTTGAGCAGGAGTTAACAACGGGGGAGGAGGAGTATCCAGGTAAAGGGTACCGAGTGTACAAAGTCCAAAGGCCAAAAAGCATGTTTCTGGGAACTGAAGTTTTAGGGAGTGCCCAGTACAGACTGGGGTGCCTTTCGAACCCAAGAATTAAGGTGTGCTTCTGTTAGTTTAACAGACTTGTTTGGAATACAGTGTTGGTTTAACCCAATCCAAAGGTGATTTTACCTAGTGCTAACATTCCAAAGTTTTACGGGATAAGATATACAAGGCAGTTCCTTTCAGATAGCAGCTCCGACTTTGTTTCAACCTTTCTGGGGCTCTATCTATAACTGGGGTTCGTATAGTTACTTATTTACATAGGGTTTCTGGAATATTATGTATTGAAAAATATTATCACAACATATGGAGCTTACAAACCTCTGTTAGGG